TAAATAGTTTTGTGAATTAGAGCAAACATCTGGCAGATGTTAAATGGCTCCTTTTTAAAAAAATATTTGTTTGTTTTTCTAGAAACTGCGTGAGGCTGGTCTTGAGCTGCCGGAGGCTGGGAAGAAAGGACCAGGACCACAGGAGGAGAACAAGACTCTGAAGGAGGAGGTGAAGAGCCTGAAGGAGGAGCTGGAAGCCACCAAGAAAGGTAAGGTGGAGGAAACGCAGTCAGTAGGTAAAATCCACAAGAGATGATGAGGAGAAGATGTTAAAGGATGAAGACTGAGACACAGAAGATGAGATCTGAGTGAAAATGAGAAATCTGTTTGTTTCACAGCTCTGCAGAAGTCGGACAACGACGTTCGTGCCATGAAGAAACAGTCTGCGAACCTGACGGTGGAGTACGACAGACTGCTGGACGAGCACAGCAAACTCCTGGTAACACACACACAATTTATAATAGCATCAAATCAGTTGCCTCAAAGCGCTTCATACTGTAAGGTCAAGACCCTACAATAATTATAATAATAATAATAATGATACAGTTAGAATTTTTTTTGTGTGTATTTTTAAAACTAAAATGTTTTGTCACAGCTAGTTTAGTTCACTGTAGTAACCTTGTTAACCTCCTATGATGCGTGCCTTTTTATGTTTACATCTGTTTCTGCATTTTAAAAAAGCAGTTTCACTTTTACTGTAAATTTATGGTTTTTGACTCGACCGCTCGCTGCTCTGTGATCTTTGGTGCGTCGGTCTGATGACCTCATGCCGTCGGGTTCAGTTCAGAGCAGTGAAACCAGGTTTTATGGCCTCGTCAGTTATAGGACTGAAGCTCAGCAGCTGTTTAACTCCGTCACACTGAGCGAACACGCCAACGCATCGGTCTGACAAACTTATTGATGCTCTGAATATTTCGCAATTAGGTTCTGTCTGTTTCCAGCTTACAGCGAGTCACAGAAGATTTTCCACCGTCTGCTTTTTTCCGATTTTCGCATTGATATTTATTTATTTATTGTAAGGAAACAAATTAATGAAAAAAGCCAATTTCCTGAGACCATAATGTGAAAGGTCTTGAGAAAGCCAGGAGAGCTTTGCCTAATAGCACTTTAAAATATTACAAGATCGTCTGTCTCCTTTGCAGCAGAGTATAAAGAAATGGGGAGTTGGCTCAAGACTTCTGGAAAACACTGTATTTCCTTACAGTGATGTTGTGACATAAAGCTCTGCTCTGCACTGTTTGACCCTAAACTTACTCAAGCTGTGTGTCAATGACTCAAAAATACTTACTAGCAAAATTACAAGAGAGGAAATTAATTTAATTGAAGGGCACAAAACTAAATCAGTTCAATTAGATTTATAATAGCATCAAATCAGTTGCCTCAAAGCGCTTCATACTGTAAGGTCAAGACCCTACAATAATTATAATAATAATAAT